TCAGTGGCTTAGACGATATTGTCGATCTCTTTGAGGGATAAACATGCGGGGAGATATTGGTTGGTAGCCGAATGAAGGAATAAATGACTTGGTACGAGAGAATCAATCAGGTCCAGAGCAAGAGCATAAGCCTCTTGAGCAATATAACACGCATGCCATGTCTCTTTTGCATCTGCCGTCCCTCAACGAGGCGAAGCAGGATTTGAGGATTTGATCCTATTAGTCCCCCCAAATACGATAGAGTCTTTCCTCACTGCATCTGCATCGTAAACACCCCCGGTTTATGCACACGACGTCACACTACAAAGGGTCCGTCCCCCAATGCCGCGGATCCGACCACTCACTCACTCACTCACTCACTCACTTACCCACGCCTCTGTGACATTCATCCAGTCTTGTCATTTGCTGGCTGGTAACTGACTGGGCGACTTTGTTTTATTCATGAGACTGGTACTCAGCGGTAAAGTGCAGGTTCCTGATGAGTTGGCAATATCTCTCTCGTCTTACTCAAGCAAATATTATTATGTCTTGTCAATTTGCACTTTGGGTGAGATGTCTTTGTAAGGCTGCACTTGCAGGGCTAACATAAAACATCAACACGGGTTCCTACATAAGGCGTTCGAATGTGCCAATGTCGCCCGGTTGCTGTGTCTCTCATATATTGTTAGATATAGAGCGTGCTCTCAACTGTGTTGAACGCGCGGGTTGCCCTGCAATATCATGACCAACTCTCACCTGAGACGAGTCGAGTAAGTGAAGCATTTAATGCATTGCCAGGTATCAGCATCGAGATCGTTATTGGAGTTGGGCAAAAGCTTCCTGGTGTGTTTCAGATATCGATATGGCCCATGTTAGTGACTCTGATTGTATCAGCATCCGCCTTGTGGGCTTATAGGGCTTCTTCATATTAAACCTCTGACAGACATATCCTTGTCACCTTACGACAATCTCCTCATTCGAGAACATAAACGTTTTGACTGTCTAAACATACACGTGGTGACTTGATTGGGACACTCGAGGTGAAGGCCCTGTGCATATCGGCCCTCAGTGAAGCAGCGATAGGGATGAGCACCACATCAACGGCATGATACAGATATACTATATGAGTCTGATACTTCTATTTTCACTATAGCGGGCTGACTTCATTCATTAGTGCTTCATATGAGATCATTCAGTGCACCGTAAGCCTTCTGACAGTTCCACACACGGTACTTCACGGTACTTGAAAGATATAACTTGTTGTGTTAAAACTTGACCATTCATATGTCTAGCCAGTAAAGTTATTTATAGTCTCTAATGCCATAAGAGTTACCAATTCAAAATACCTCTCATATGCCATGACTAGAACCAGGTCTTGCGGTCTATGCTCACCAAACAGTCCATCAACATGAGGACAGGGACTCATGAAACACCTTATCAAACCGGATGAAAATAATCGAAATGACGATGATCACTTCCCAAACGCAAAAGAAACAGTGTACCAGTACCGAATGACTCTCCTTCCAGGTTGTGGATATGCAAAGTTCGATCCAGACCTTATACAATTCGTATATCGACGATGAAACAATCAACAATAGCATCACTTCTCGCGGTCAAACTCAAGAAAATGCATATTATTACACATTCTTGGATTGCCTCTATTCTACACAGTGTCACCATCTGGTGTAGGTTTGTGCTGTGATGCCTGCTTGGAGTGTGGGCATGAAGTGTGTGGTGGCAGTCCGTCCACAAACCATCCATCTCATCAATCCTTTTCTTTATGCTTGTGAGTATACAGCCACCAAGTGCTTCTTAAGAGCCATTAATGGGCTCAGTGGATGAGCAGTCCTGAGCATTGGTGTTGACTCAGAGAAGACGTCCTCAATAAAAAGTTTGACATGGCGGTTGACTTTAAGTTTCCGTTGTCACGACAAGATTTTCCTTCGCATATACCCAAGTACACTGAATTTGTTCCTGTTTCTTTTCATTATGTTTGACTCATTCACTGTTATCATCGACTTTCGTTGAAAAGCAGGTCAGTTCACAACATTGCATATCCCACTTCACCATCAGCCTGTGCCAGATGATCTTGGATTCCAGCATGCCTCGCTTTCCATTTCCTTCTCTTGTATTAATCCAGCTCGGTTTCATTCTTCTGCTAGCAACTCAGGTTCGGCCTGAGAGGTTGGCGAGAGAAGGGCCGTACCACCGATGCTACTTACTTGTCAATACCAGGCACCATATCAGCGGAAACAATTGTGCTGAACGTTGTGTCATTCTTAGAACCTCACGGAGCGTGTTCCAGCATGGTATATACATACACAAACCTAACCGTCGCTAACTCAATCTCAATGCTGTTCCAGTTTGAGGTACTCTGATCACTGTCAGGGGTCAAAAGGTATTAGTTGGCTTAAGTGGTATTAAACCCAGGGTCGATAGTCTTGCACCATCAGATTTGATATCACACCTCCATGCATACATCGCCTACGGCGGGCCTGAGCATAATTCAAGCCATGAGCCATTCTGGTCGTAAATATGCTTATGTCTCAAATGTTTCTACTGACATAAGAGTATCCTGAAGTCTGACGGTGCCACTCATTGCAGCATCGGTCAAACGTAACGAACCCTGAATCCCAACGATGCATGATTCTCCGGGTGAGATCCAAGTGTTTCCTTCTTGATGAACACAACCGGCCAGAAGACCTCTACTCACCTATTTTCCGGCCGGTGCCTGTCTAGTTGCCAGGTGTTGAAGCGGGAGTCCTCCCATGAAAGCCCATGACACAAGTCGTGATATCCTAGCAAGTCACAGAACCACACAAATTCCGTGAATAGATTGTTCTCTGTCTATTTTCTTTGTCTAGAGTATATGAAAGATGGTGCTTATTGATATTTCGATCTTTCCAGGCATCAACACGCCAACATCAACCTTGGGTACGCCACTTGGCTTACTTTGGGGCATGATGCGCAGAGAAGTGCCAATTCAAAGGCAGAGAGGGCTTTGAGACGAATGCAGAAGGCAAACAGGCAACGAAACGCTATAGCACCAGTTCCAGGGTCTGTGAGAGCATGGGCTTATCAAGTGGTAGCGCTGGCTACGGACGTTCCAGTCTTGAATATGCAGTTTGCGGGAACAAACCCCAATGAGTCGACTGGTAGTTTGTCCAATCGGTAAGCCTTACGGTGGGAGGCCTTGAAATGGACACATGCCAATACTGCGAGTCGTGTACTGCATACACCTCGTGCTCTTGAAACTGACACACGAGATAACAAAGGGAAAATCCGCATCCGCCGCAGCCCTGGCCACGGCCGCAACCACAGCTGAGCCCTGTTCAATGCGGTTCGGCTCAGCTCAGCCCAGCCCAGCTCAGCCAGTCTCCGACCCCGCTCAAGAATTAACTGCACGAGGCTCGAGCGAATATGAGCCCCGCAAACAAAACGAAGTAAATGCTGACGCCGCGCACAGAACCACCGTGGACACGGGGGCGTGGTTCTCGACGAAAGATCATATCAGACAGATCACTCCGATGAGCCAAAACAGAACAGTAACATACTTGAGTGGAAAACGTATAATAAACCAAGGCAAAGGCAAGACAAGCCAATGCGAGGGAGGGGAAAGAATTGGCTCGGGTCATGGTATGAGTCTCCCCGTCAGGACTAAACGCCGGATGAACGCGCCGCGCGTAAAGTGCTTGCATGGACCAATGAGAGGCCAATGGCTGCTATTGATGGGCCTCTTGCTCCCTCTCCCTCTTGTGGTTTTAGATCCTTGACGCCCTACTCGAACCAGGGCCCCTCGGATCTTGCCTTGTCCACCCCTCTATTCCCCTTGTTTGGTGTCTTTCATCTCTTTCAGAGGCAAATAACAAGCAAAATATGTTGACTGAAGCTGCCTTGAGACGCTCTTCCTCACATTGGTTGATGATGTAGGCGCACTTGTGCTTCGGCTATAAGGGAACAAAATACACAACACCCTCCACATTTTGTTCAGCTGCCCCCTTCTTCTTAAAAAGAACGTGAGCGTGAAAATCTCTTGCGAAATCCAGAATGGAGGGACATTATGAGGACCAAAGTTCGGTTTTAGTTGGCCCGTCCGGGTAGTTCAAAAACCCAGAGATACAGGGATGTCCTATCATCGTCACCTACCCTGTGATTTCAACAGGCGTGCCAACGACATGATGAGCATTCGAACCGAAACCACCGTATATTTTGAAGCCGTGCAACCGTTATACCTCGTCAGCTTTCTTGTCCGGTGAATTCTACAGACGCTGCTGTGAGGCACACAACAGTGAAGAAAGTCCTGGAAAGTCGAGTCTCTTGACCAAAGTTTCAGGTCAGCCTCGATCACGGTAGGGATACCAACCAAGACAGTAGAGGCGAACACCATCGTGCCCCTTCTGCGATGATGATGCCACCCTCTGACTAGGTAGTACCGAAACTCAACGTCGACACAGGGGCTATCAGCCATACATACTATGTATAGGTGCCTAATTGTCGAAAGGCACGCAACAACTCTTACGAAACGGTCGCGGAGTGCCATCGACGAATTGAGGCTGAGCTCTCGCCCAAACTATGATATGTCGTGGCATGGCCTGGACTGCTCTGAAAGTCCAATAATGGGCAACTTGGAGTGAAGATCACCGTCGGGCTTCAAATAACGCCACGGCCAAAGTGATGTTGCCGGCTTACCCTTTGTTCCAGAGATATCAATTGATCATCACCCGAGGGCTGAGAGGAATAACGCCAAGATGGTGAGGAGAAAGCATGTGTCCCAGCCGAGCAAGAGTCATGTTGAGCCAACAAGAGGTCAAAGTTAATCAATAGCGAAGCAGGGGATGGCAGACCCCTGGCAACCTCATCTCTACAAAAGCCCTCGTCGAAGTTGTACGTAGACTGGACTGTAGGTCGTACATGTACAGTAGGGGCAGCAATTAGTGATGGGGGATGGGGATGTAAGCGTGGGATTTCAACCGGGTCTGGGCATCCCTGCATCATAAATTCCTCACGCTTGAATCAAATAATTAGATCCGTACATGTTGAGGGGCGTGGAGTGATAAGGAGAACGTCGCGACAACAGGCTTTGAGCAGCCAAGTGAGTGGCTTGCTAATGAAGGCAAATCTGTAATAAGTTAGTGGATACGATTTGTCTCTCCACGCCGAACGCAAAAGTTGCACTGCGGAGCATGATGCTGGAGTGGTATTTGCTCATGGCGAACCAGGGCCAACTGAGACCTTGTCATTGTGGATTGTGAGCCACCTGATTCATGGATAGAGCTGCAGAGCATCATCTTTCGTCAGGATGTTGACTTTACAGCTCCATGTAGGGGAGGTGTCGGAAACCTTCAGCGCCGCCTTGTCTGTTGATTCAAGGCAAGTACTCTATATCTGGACCCGTATTTGCAGGGCCGACTTCAAGGTTGCGCTGTAGGATGTGCTCTTGCACACAATGCTGTTGCAATTTTTCTCAAGAGGCTTCGATCTGCTAACCGTCTCATTATCATCATCTATCAATATAATGGATCATCGCCGATGTGGTAGGTTATGATAAAGATGACGGGACCAGACCAGCCAGACTACCAGGCCACAAGCGTCTAGCTGATCACTCTCATTTGAGGCCGGGTGGTTGGTTGTGGTGGTAGGCGGGAATTAAGCACATATCACCAAGTCTACGGTGCGCATGAAGCTGTATTCTTGAAGTTAGAGAGGCAACGAGCCAATAAGAGCCCCGCGTGAGACTGACACTACCAACCAGACACGATGAAACGACCCGTCTTTGCGTGATCTCGAAAAATTCGATGACAAGGCACTGGCGAGGTACGATGCTGGTGTATATCAACGTTGCGTATTCAATCTTGGCCTCGTTTGCATTCACGGATCACCGACCGCTACGTGTGTGACCTGTGGGTGTTATCAATTGTCGGGGGCCGACAAGTTGGAATGCCGTATTCGCGACCATGGTGTGATTCAATGATAGACGTGTGGACGCATGTCCGGGGCGAATTCTGTAGCCGTAGTCGGACGGATTCATGTGCCTAAACAAGTGCTGCGCTTTGAGGCATCTTGTCTCTGAAAATCCTTGGGTTGGGGGTGTCACACAGCGTTCCCATTCATTTCGAATTTGCAGGGATAGGCAAGCTTTTCGATAATGGAAGTGCCAAGATGGCGCCTGAGCTGGCGCTGTCGAGCTAGAAATTCGTAGTTTCAAAAGATGTCAGTATTGGTTGGCGCTGGACTATGAATATCAACAGGCAAGACGGCGCCCCCAATTTGATGCTTGACGGTGAGTAGGCGGCCGTGCTGGAATAGGTTTATCGAGTTCAAAAGCTAAAAAAGACGCGGAGGCTGTTGGAGATTCTCAGAGTCAGCCAACAGCGAATGATGATCGGCTATGATTGGGTGGCAGATGTGTAAGTGTGATTATTTGGCACAGCCCTTGGTCTCCTGTCTCGGAGCATGATCCTCTGCGTTGTTTAGATCACCTATGCATCTCAGTGGAAGGGCCGCACGGCAAGCCTTGAGTGCACATATCGATTGCCTCGTCGAGTGTATCGTTAATGATGGCGGAGCACCTGAGCCCTTGGCGTATATCAAAATGTGCCTGTCTCTGAAAGATGCTCGGCGGGCTCATCAACTCAAGTTTGGTTACGTTTGGGTAAAGGACCATACACTCTTCAACCCCACCCCTCCAACACCAGGAGCAAGACTGGAACCGAACATATGTCATCAGGGCCTCTGTTCAACAATGCAGTGTTGAGGGCGGGTGCAGCGGAGGATGCAGCAGCGGCTCAGCCAAAAGTGGCATAATGTCGACACCGGGGAGCGAGAGCCGCAGTTGTGTTTTCAGTCAGGCAGAGTCAAATAATATCACAATGCAAAATAACAAAGTAAATTGGACCAAGCCCAAGCCAGTCCATGACTCCACTGTATCTGCGATTGTTGGTTGCCAGTATGTCTGCGTTTCCTGTGTTTGCCACAGACACTGCAAGCTCTCCAAATGTCGATATGGTCAGAGCGCCTGATTGGTTTCTATCTTCAAAATCAATTCAAGCCTGAAAGTATTTCTTGTGGCTCAGTGATATAGGGATGTATATGTGTGTACGGATGACGATTGAATCGGTTCTTCGCATCGTGGCTGCTGATGCAAGTACACACATCACATGGCGGGCTGGGAGAAGATGAGACCGGAACTAGGTATCGTCTCCAACACCATTTGTAATGCCTCCAGTACAGACAGACCCATGGGTGGGCATGAGGTGGTCATGGTGGGTCGTTTCTGATAGTGTTGAGGGGATGAGAATGGCGGCTGACTGGTACACAAGTGACAAGCGACAGGACTTCTCAGTCGTCAAGAAACAGCTGCTGGCTACAATCCGTACTAAGGTAGAGGTAGGGATCCAATGGTGGTGAGGTTACTCCGTAGACGGAAGCCAATGACACATGTGGGAAAGCGCCGGTGTCTTGGTTTTCGATGCCTCCTTCCCTGCCAAGGGGTGCGTTGATCAGAACCTGAAGAGTCGAGGTACAGTAGATACCTTATAATGGTGGAATTGCAACTGAGGATCTGGGCGAACTCCGAGGTTTTTCTTTTTCTTAACGATTTAGAAGAGTATTTGGTAGAGTAACATTAATTGTTAGCTTTTCCCAATATATGATAGTAAATTCGTTGATGATGACTGTAATGCAATGCAAATGGTCCCGGTTTATTCTTCAAGCCCGAGGGCCATCAGGTATTACAATTGCAGATGCTCTAGCCAATCATAGCACTGTCAGGGTGAAAGAAGTACCGTTCCTCCCACTTGCCTTTTCCAGGGAAGGGCAGTAATCAAGTCTGCTTTCCTTCCTCATCCATCGGCCATCCATAAAGTGAATACCGATCCTGAGGTATCTTATCTTACCATGCTTAGCAGTGTTGACGCATGCTGAAAAGCCCAATACCAATACGAGAGACACGTCGCAGGCGTCGTTCCTTCTTGTACCGAATGCTAAAAATGTTGATGCTGCCTCATTCTTGAGGTGCATTGTGTATCAAATTTTGTTACAGCCTTCAGAAGTGATCGACCAAAAGTTTCTCTATCGATATCCATCCTTACTCCCTTCTCTGATAGTTGCTTGGCTTGGTGGTCCCATATCTTCTTTCCCCCTAGGAAGTTTAAAGACAATGGGGCAATTGCTACTGCATACGGAGTACGAGTAGGTACCATCTAGACCCCGGGTACTAAGGTACCTACCTAAGTATGTGCCTGCCTCCTGCCGACAGAAGATGTACAAACTTGGTAATGGAAGGTGTTTTTTCCATGCTCGAATTCATCGTCCTCCAACTAAATTATCTTACATCTTGGCTTGCAAGTCTGACATACATACATCCGCTTGGTTGTCTGCTGTCACTGTCTCATGATGTATGTATCCATTACATGTATTGATTCACTCCTTCAAACATCCAACCAATCATCCCTGTGCCAAAGTCCCTGCTGCTCCTTTGCGCCAAAGTGAGAAAAATGGAAAGCAAGGGTAATCTCCAAGGTTAGCTTCCCTGTCGCAAGTGACTCACTATGATTGGCTGGGTTCTGTACCGTACTGATTCGTTCATTTTCTAGATTGATTATCCGCATGCACTCGAGTGGTCATCACAGCACCCACTTCACCTTCTTCTGCGCGAGCTTTGCGCCTACGTACATACGAGAAAAGTAGGCTGCGGCGGCATGGTTTTTGCTCTTCATACGAGACGACCGCAGGCACGCGTCGGGATACAACCATCTTTTTGTACCGAGCCCACATGCCTACGTACTCGATTTCGCCAGCTATCGCTAATCAGGTAAGCTTGCCTTGTTACAAATGATTTACCAGTATGCGTTACAGGTTTGTATGCACTGCACATCTTGTCCGAGCTGTCGGAGATAGCATCTCGAGCTTTCGGCTACTAAGAAAAAAGTAAAGAGAGACGAGACAAGTCACTCGTTCCCTTGCCACTGTGGCTCTCATTGGCGAAGTGTGCAAGGGAACTTTCTCTGTTGCGCCAAAGTGGCCTGGACTTGCATATACTAGTATTCACAACTGAGAATGACCCGAACCTGAGGTCGAGAATACGATGATGAACGCCATGATAGTGTTGACGAATGACCTGCATGATGATCTATTGTCAGCCTGGTCGATGTCATATCAAAAGATTCCTCTGAAATCATCAATAATTTTTGCATGCTTTTGACTGGCAAGATCATAAGAGAGCATCACAAGAGTCTTGGCCACAACATGAGCAGAAAAATCCTCGGCTCTGTCACGAATTACACAACAAGGCTACTCACGTCCATATGCATGTACCCGGCACGCAGCAATCACTCAAGCTGGCTACTGAATCGTCTTCTTATGCCTCCTTGTACGAAATTAGACACGCCAATTTTGATTCTCGCAGCCCGCTACCAAGCTTTGTCCATCTCTTTGGTGCCTGTTGGACACGCCAGTTGTTTTTGGTCAAGCAAGGTTGCAGCCAAGGGAATGCAGTGACAGGCTTGTGCACAATTGACTTACTTCCTAACGGCAATAAGCCTCCTGCACCACAGGGTCTGGACGACGACTTTTTCTGTACATACTGCATTTAGATCTCGGCGAAACCAGGCGCCCTTCAGTGCAAAGGTCGATCGAAGAACAGACAGACAGACGTATGCCTGCAACAAGTTAACAAGGGCTTTGTCAGAAGGCATCCAAACCGACTCTGGACCATGTGTCGATTGCTAGTGCTACAAGTTAACTCAACTACTTGGCGCGCGGACGTGCCGGTATTGTGTTGGGCTGGCTGGCACAGCTCGAGGTTTGCGAGATGCAGATTCGGTGCCGTCAACAATTAACTGGTCACTTCTGGGTTGCCCCGGTTGAGTTTTGGATCATCATCCCTAGTCTCTCTTTGTTGGAAGTGTGATGACGGGCTGGGCTCCGTTCATGGCGCTGTCCACTGTGTCCAGCACCTCAGGGCGAGGGGGAAATGCCCGCAACGGCAGGGGTTCCCACCGTTCAATGCCAGGTTATCGGATGGGGCCAGACGGTGGCTTCTAACTACGTGCTACTACGTACCTCATCAATGGTCGATAAAACGGATTCAATATCCTTGTTCCACTTAGAAAGAATTTGAGTCCAGCACTGTAGAAAACGACTCGGCGTCATACCAAGGATCCGGGAGACCTAATATGCCTGCCAAAGGGACGCTGGCTCAGCAGGCCCACCAACTGCGTCCGTATACAAGACAGAGAGAGTATTACGAACGCTACACCACCAAAGAACGAGTACAGCCGTAATCCCAATATGCTCATTGCAGTGTCTCAGAAAGTCATGAGGACTCAGGGATGAAGCAAAAGCTCATATCTAAAGCACAGTGCTCGCACTCGCATGCTGAGTGACAAAGACGCTGAAAATTACTTTAGCCGTTAATAGTTCGACGAGCGGCACAGATTTGCGTCGCCTCTCAGCGAATGGGTGTTGATCCCATTTGGAAGGGAACGGACTTGTCCCTTGTTGTGGGGGTACATGACAGCTATGTTTGATTCCTTGCTTTGCTATTGCCCTGGGGCTTGAAAGCTGGGACCATTTTCGTTCCTTTCTCAGCCATGCCGTGCCGGAAGTTCTGGTGCGTTTATTCTCCTGAACCAGGACTGATCTTGTCTAGCAATCTAACGATGGTTGCCGCCTCAATATATTAAAAACACGTCTAGCCGATCCCAAACCAACCAAAGCCAAAGGTCATCACTGCACAAGCTGCACAGCATAACACAACACAACAGTGAATGAGAACGGAGCGGTATCATCAATGAATGGGGTAGGGAACCTGGTGAGTATTTACACGCGGCCTACACTCCCGCATTCACGTTCCTGAAAAGGTCAAGCAGGGAATAGTAGTGGAGTAAGCGCCGTGGCATGGCTCATGGCTCCTTGTTCAAGCTCATGATTGCCGGACAACTCATGAGGCAAGCAGCTTTTCAAAGATGGAGTTGCACCACTGTTGCGGGTTGGGTAAGTACAAATAAGTGAAGGTTCCGACACACCATCTGTTTGGATGGCTGAGGACTTGTCGGACAAGCGAGCATGCAACACAATGAAGAGTTAAGAGGGAAATACGGAGTTGAACTCAGGTTGATATGACCGTCCACAACACAAATTATTACAGTACAGAGAACAACAGCACTGTAACTTACTATGTACTGTGTCCGTACAGGGCCGATGAATGATAGGCTTTGTACCAGTCCTAAACCGACGTGTGCCCAATGAACTGTCATTGAGATTCGGAAGACACTCCACAATGGTTGTGTTTGTCGAAACCTCCATCTTTACATATCAAGGATCTCGCATACGGTACAAGCCCCAGGCTTCATGGGATGGGCGGAGAGGGATCCAACATGTGCATAGAGGTGTGCAGGTCAATCTCACAAGGCTTTCAGGAACGACGCACTCATCTATCGCCTTTTTTTTTATATCCCTCCTAGCTAAGCAGGTTTCGTTACGAGTCTCACTCTCGTCATCACCATTTACATTCAGTCCCCATCTTAATATCAAAACCAATACCGCAAGTATCCCTTGAGCAAGGTCCCGCCGCCGCTTACAAGGCCCCCGTAAGGCCCGCCCACAGCTTCGAGCACGGCACCGACCGGGCGACCCCTAGGGCGTTCCAGGGGCGACTTTGAACGAATTTGATGCTCCATTAACAATTGAGCTGGGGGCTTAGAACGCAGTTGATGAATGGTAGGTTCCAGCACCCAGGACTCCGCTGTCTAGCGGGCTTGGATCCAATAGAGCTTGGAGAGGAGTGGAGGAAACTTGAGAGTTTTAGCGGCGAGCGAGGGGCGTGTGGGTTTTAGGCCATGGGCGTGTGATAGCCGTAATAATGGATAGGAGCTAACACAAGGCAAAGCACCTCACCTCACCTCACGGAAACCGGGGTTGTCGCTGAGTGCGGTGTCAGCTGGAGAGCGCCACGATGGCCCTGGTCTAGTCCGTAATAGCAGGTCTAGTAGAGGCTCGCGACATGGTCGACACAGGATTGTCATGTCGGTGGTACCGGGCTTTGTATGGGTTTGTCTGAGAACTAACAAGTATAGCCATACATGCCCGGCTAGTACCACAGGACACAGAGCGCAACCTGGCCCAGGGACGGCCGGGCGGGTGTGCGCGTGCAATGTCTTGTCTGAGTCTGAGGTCTGAGAATATGAATGAGTAAGTGAGTGAGTGAGCGAGTGAATGAAAGAGTGTGAATGACGGAAAGAGTACATATGCAAATGTACGTACATACACTCACTCTCGGCCAACGGAACAGTAGCCCATGACCCCATTGAGTCTGAGTCTGAGTCTGATCCAGGGCTTCACTTTCAAGGATGGTACTTCTAAACCTTAGTCGGTTCAGTGGTGAGATCAAGTACTTTAACGGGGCTATCATCCATCAGTGGGAGAGCAGGGGGCTCCACTTCACTGGGACTGCCCTGGGCTGGCTGGGTTTGGATAGGTACCTAGGTAGGTTTGAACTGGGGACGGACACCCCTACTTTCTACTCCCTACGCTAGGTAAAGTAGGTACTGTACGCTAAGTGCGCTATACTACACTGGGCTGTGTCTAAGAGAGAGAACCACACTTGCTTGACGAACAACGAGACTACCAAGTCTAATCCAAGTGAATGGAAGTCAACTACCTTACAGGACTGTCTGTACATACACGCACACAACCACCAGCCATGGACTGACTGAGCCCATTCCGTTGTTGCTTCTTTTTCTTCTTTCCTTTTCCTATTTCCTGTTCCTTTTCCTATTTCCTCTCTTCTATTCCTTCCTAGTTACCTACCTATCCAAACTTCCTCGCCTGGGAGTCCTCCTCCAAGACCATACTCAACCTCCATCCCCATTCCAAGCGAACAACAGCTCTCCAACCGCAGCGAGCTTATACTAGCTATCTTCCTAGTAGCTTTGTCCTCGCTGTCCGATCTCACAAACGAACAATCACTCTGCCATCCAGGAAACGAACGATCTCCGTCGAATTTCTTCACTTTGAGTCGGTCTACTGCGAGTACACTGCCAGCCCGTGACAGTCGAATATGGCACTGGCCCTCTATCTATAGGTAGACCACATTATTCTTGGCACACATTCGCCGATTTTACCTCCTGGCTCCAAATATCAAACGAATGAAAGCTTCTGCGGGGCAAAGTCAATTGTTCTTTTGCTGGCACAATAGGTCAACAAGCAGTGACGCAGTGGGGGCTTACTTTGAGAGAGTGTGAAGCTTTCACGAAATACACAACCCCGAATTAACCTCGAATCTGGCGATTGCGCCTATTGCCTCGCCCAACAACAAGAAGGCGAAACGTGTAGGCCTCCATGTCGGCTGGTACATTGCTTGGGACCTTGAACTTTCCTCCTTCACCTCCACACGGCTCAGGCAGCCGGGAACCTAGCTTTCCTTCAAGCATACAACTGCCAAAGCTGCATTCTCGATTCGACAACATTCCGTTATCGCGAAACGGGCTTAGGACTCCCCCGACTGACGAAATGAGCACTGTCTTTCAGCCCCAGCTGGCTTCATGGGAGAATCATGCTATTCACAACTATCCTGCTGCAGTGCCTCAGGCTGCTCGACCTACAGCTCCTGTAACCGATGCGAGAGCATCTCAATACTACAGATATCCCACGCAGCAACAAGATCAACAGCAGCAACAGCAATCGCAACCGCAACCGCAACCGCAAACCACATATAACCATTACTACCAGCATGAGCCATCGACGCAACCTGCACAACCTCAGCTTAATTTACATCCGACTTCCCAAGTCTCTCAGCACCGAAATGGGTCAATCTCAGCGGAGTCACAAGCCCTGGGACAGACCATCAGGCCTTCAACGCCTACATCGACTGCATCAGGGAGCAAGGACGAGTCCGAGTCGCTTGTCTATCATAGCCTGCAAATCCCCAAGTGTATCAGCCCTTCAGGTGGAAACCTCGCCGATTTCGCTGCTCAGGTATACGATCTCAAACACATGTGGAGTTCACAAAATGCTAATTGGAATAGATGACTTGCCTGTTCTGGTTCGAATCGATTGAGGAACTCAAGCAGGCCGAATCGATTCGTGTCAGAGGCCCCAATGCCCTCATTCCTCGGTTACCGACTCTCGCCAAACCCCACGATCAATTTCGGAAGTGGGTGTACAGCGTTTTGTCGACGACACAGGTGACCCAAAATGTCATCCTCTTGGCATTGTTGTTCATCTACCGGTTGAAGATGTCAACTCCTCAAATCAAGGGTCGCGCCGGCAGTGAATATCGATTGTTGACTGTGGCCCTCATGCTCGGGAACAAATGTAAGTGATGAGTCGAACAAGGGTGTCAGACATCAACTGACCTTGCCACAGTCTTGGATGATAACACCTACACGAACAAGACCTGGGCCGAAGTGTCAAGCTTCCATGTGCAGGAGATCCATGTCATGGAGGTGGAGTTCCTGAGCAACATGCGATACAATTTGGTTGCTACAAAGGAACAGTGGGAGGGCTGGTTGGACAAGCTTTCCTGCTTCAACGAGTACTACGAGCGAGCTGTGCGATTGCCAGCATCCCCGATTCATATTCCTTCGCCAACAAACAAGTCTCATCACTCGCCTGTTGCTTCACCGACGGGTATGATGCAGCCCGCCGCCAGCCTCCCTACTCCGGCTGTTACAACGACCAACTATTCACCTACCTCGAGTCATTCCCAGAACTGGTCCGCATACCACTCGAACACTGTCTCTCCATTGGCTACCAAGCCCAATCTGCAGTTCCCTGTCTCACGGAAGCGAAGTCCCGAGGAAGAGATCATGGAACACCCCGCGAAGCGACTTGCTCCTCCTGGACGAGCTCCAGCTGCCGCGATGGTCCAGGCTGTCAACTCACGACCCAATGGGATCGTTGAGCCGGCGAGGCTACCTGTGCCCCATCTCACTGTCATGACCGGACAGCTCCAGATGCAGCCTCAGACCCAGCCTTCACTGACGCCCTTCAATAGCGGCAATGTCAATGTCAACGGGTATCCTCAACCTACGCAGCAGGTTGCCCAGCCTGTTCACGTCTCGCTTCCTCCATTGCAGACCGGTATGCGTGCCATGTCAACAGTCTACCCATCAGGCCCCGCCGCTATGGTGCAGAAGCAATCGCTTCCCACAACAACGGGTGTCACCATGGCGCAAGCTGGCTTTCCTACTCAGGCACCTGTTAACTATGGTACACCAAACAAGCAGCACAGTCCTGGACGTCTGGGCCCCTTCAACTCATCGCCTCTAGCTGAGGCATACGGCCAAGCATCGGCTGTTCACACTCCTATGGTGCACACTCCCATTTCTAACTCGCCGAGTGTCTTCCTGCAACAGCGACCTAGCCCGTACAAACCTGTGCGCCATGTTAACACGCTCTTGTGTCCCCCACCTTCGGCCTCACTTGAGCAATATCATCTCGCTGTACCTGTTCCCCCGACACAGATGCACTATCAGCCATTGGGACGACGAAACGACCTGCGAACTGGTATTGTCCCAGAATTTATGGTCTATAACCGCGGTCACCCCCAGAACCTCCCCCCTCACGGACTCGCTCAGGGACACTACCCGTCTTAGGGATGCCAGGGTTACCCTGCGATCGTTTATGAATCTTACCGCACAACACAGCGTAAGCCTCAGCTCTGAGGCCATTTCAACTCGGCATCTGAAGTATGTTTCGCTTTTTTTTCACGGGTCATTGCGTCCTTTTTTTTATGAAGTTAGATTTTTGGGGTCGGATTTGCATCACAGCATCGCATGGCATAGGCGTTTGGAAGGAAAGAAATAGGCCAGGGTTCAACAGCCTCCCGGATAGGACTACATAAGGAAACGGATCAGGACACCAGGGCTGTCGGTCGCATTTGGCTTGGAGTTTGGCTTTTTTTTTTCAGTGATGGATGCTGCTAGGCCATATAGGTTGGCAATGAAGCATGTTTCACGATGTATCGGGCTTCTTAACCGAAAGCTCATCATATCGCAGCGTTCATCCAGCATCGGATTTCTCTGCATGACGTCGGCGTCAACATCGCCTGTATATAGACGGACGCGCAGGACGTCAGTTATGACTCTTAGAATAGATCACAATCAACAGAGGGTTCTGCCAAAAGCGCCAACCCCATGCTTATACGGTGGCATTATGGTTAGACAACATGCGCGCCTAAAAACTCCATGTGACTCGACGGTGACCTGGGTGTGTTTTTACTCGCTGGCACTTATGCAATAACTTGAAGCTTCTATCATGGTACACAACTTGCACTCCAACTTTTCTGTGGCTTGAGCACTTGTCATTGGGTTACACAAAAAGCCACTCTCTGATGATTTAATCTCGTCCCTGCATCTGACTACACCGTATAACCTAGTTATGCCGCCATAGATTTGTGAAATGGAGGCCAAAATATGATATAGGGTTTGCTCTAGGGTATCCACCAAACTGACTGGTGATATCTCGGGAAACTCAACTTCGGTAGAACTACTTGAAAGCTTTCCAGGAAGCAGTATTGCTGACACCACCCTATCAATTAAAATGTTTTGAATTAGTGATGTAACCGAGGTCATGTATCTTTGCTGGCTCTGGCTCTGGCCATCCAATGTTACCGGGATATCGGATATCACTGGCGAACAGGCTTGACAGGGCACGATGCACTCCCTACAGCAACGCCAAGAAACGAGCCAATCATATAATACACCAGCCACTTTTCAAACGCCTCTACTTCCCCACCTCTGCCACTTTCCCACAACAACGGCACAGCAACGAGATCCTCCGCTCGCTCCACTTTGTCTCTTTTGACCTTCACTCACATCTCTCGCCTGAGCCTAAAGCGTAGCAGAGGCAGGCAACACATTCGCTTCGACCACTCGAATTAAATCATCGCAGTCGTCGCATCGCATCGTATCCGTTTCGTTCTTGGTGTTTTAGACCCGACCAGTTTTCTTGTCTCTTCTCTTGTTTTCTAGGTTAGTTCTTTAGCCGCCAGGTCGAAGAAAGGGGTCGCCGACGAGCCATCGGTCGAGGACGAGACATTTGCTACCCGACCGAGCGAAACACTCCCCTTTTTACGCAGTTAAGGGTTGTGATTGCATTCCGATCGAAATTTGAACCCCTTGTAGTTGGGGATATCTCATAATATTCGCCCTCGAACGTCGAGGACGAATTGAAAGGATTGGGTCAGCGACTGATTATCGCGCCGAGGGGTTTCCACGACTCGACGACATCGATACGACGACATAAACGATCTTCTCGACGACAATCGCTCTGCCACTCGTTATCGCGATATTCGATTCATCGTTCCCCGCAATCTCGCTCACTTTTGGATTTTCGTAATTCCTGCGACAACAATCGAGCAGTGAGTGATCTCTACTCGCCCATCATGTCTGGCTTCGGCGACTTCACTTGGATCTGTGAGACGGCACCTCTGCCACTATGCGCTTCCGTTGGGCCTACCCTCCAAGCCACTGGCCGAACCGGCATTGAGCCAGAATGCTATGCACGCAATATCGAACTTGCCAACACCATCATTTTCGAAGGCGCTGCGTCGGTGATGCACATTGTTGCGCTCATTATGACCGTCATTATGATTCTCCACGTCCGTAGCAAGTTCACCGCTGTTGGTCGCAAGGAGATTCTCAGCTTCTTCTACCTCTATATGCTTCTCACTGCTATGTCTCTCATTATCGACGCTGGTGTTGCACCTCCGGGAAGCGACCCGTATCCGTACTTTGTCAGTGTGCAGAATGGACTTAGCAGTGCAGTTATCACATGTCTATTGATCAATGGCTTTGTTGGATTCCAATTATATGAAGATGGAACTCCTCTGTCAGTATGGATGATGCGCATCTGTTCTTTGGCTGCTTTCGCCATCAGCTTCCTCGTTTCTCTCGCGACTTTCAAGAGCTGGGCTGGACTTGGACCTACCAACACTGTTGGACTGTTCGTCGTTCTCTATCTCTTGAATGCTGTCCAGCTTTTCGTGTACGTGGCCATGCAAATTCTGCTTGTGACTAGGACACTGCAGGACCGATGGCCTCTTGGCGATATTGCGTTTGGCATCTTCTTTTTTGTGACTGGCCAGGTCCTTCTCTACGCTTTCAGCTCAAAGATCTGTGTCGCTATCAGCCATTATCTTGACGGCCTGTTCCTTGCGACAGTTTGCAATTTGCTGGGTGTAATGATGGTTTACAAGGTATGTCAAATATGACACGGAAACTCTGCGGTCAGTTACTAATATTTTTGCAGTACTGGGATTCGATCACCAAGGAAGATCTTGAATTTTCAGTTGGCACAAGGATGAACAACTGGGAGGTCAAGGAGCTTCTGCCAGAGGAAGACCGAAGGGCGACTGTATTTTCGGAGGATCCCTATGCTCAGTCCAGCTCCTATGATCTGCCTTATTCGCCAAGCGCAGCACGATACTCGGCCAAGTACTAAACGCTCTGACCACCAGAGCAACTTTGACGCCATTAACGAGACTTCATTTTCTTCTATTTTGATTCAGCGCGTGGCGCGCAGTTCATGGCGCTCTTGTAGAGCAACACGAAACATTGGGCTGTTTTACTTTTAGAATCTTTACATTGCGCGGCGTTTTTAATGGACTGTATAAGTGTGACCAGCCCTGGCCACAACTGGGGATAACGAAAACCGATGGGCAAATGGAAAGCCTAGGTAGGGGAAGCAAGAGACGCTTGTTAATTAGGGGAGGGAACCTTGATGACCAGGATGGGCAACCACATGTAGTTGCGAGTTCTACATATAATCAATCATATAGGTAGTTTATATATTATTGAAACTATACTTGCAACGCCTGCCATTGATTGAGTTTTGATTGTATCGAGGTTCTTGGAGCACAAGATGGCTGGCATGATCTGATCTGATCTGATAGTCGGCCAGATAGGCTTGTGATAACCATACATGGGCTTAAGCTGAGCGATCCGTGGTATTATACCGAGTTGGGATTGGTGAGAATGAAGTCTCGTGTCGGTAAGAAACTTTCGGGTTGATATTGGTAGTAGCTTGGCAGAGCATGTTAGTGGGGAGGCCATGTCACTGGACGAATGGATATCCAAGTCCCCACCTCCCTTCTCGGCCGTCTCCGAAGCCTATCGGCGATGATAATGAAAACCAGGCTATAGCCAGGAACTAACTAGTACCTAGGTCTAATATGTATGTGCATATTCGTACATAATCAATTGGTGCTGTGAAGGATGAGATCACAACCAACTAAGAAATATGTGCCGCACGCGGGACAGGCAACAATATGTATATGCGATATCGACAAGGAAGTACAACGTAGTATGCATGAATACACAGGAAGATTAAGTTTAGTTTATACTCCCCGTCTAGGTAGGTATTTCTCAACAAGCACCACCTATCGTGTCAGCATGGGACCCGGCGCCACAGGATCAAGGGGGCGTGGAGACGATACACTACAGTGCCAAGTTCATTGGACGGTGTCAGCTGGCGCTGCTGGCTTGTATCTTGTTGTGACAAAGCATTGTGCTGCGAGAACTCTCGATGGATTGAGTGAGGGTGAAGGGTGGCGGGATGGAATTGGAGGGAGCAAAATCGCACGTAATGTAGCCAACCAACCACGACAACCAAGCTAAGGAAACACGACCAGGGCCAGCTGTTCGTATATAAGTCCATTCCCTTTGTTATAGAGCTATACTACTAGTACGTTGGGCTACTGCTACCAAGTTGGTCGCAGGGGAATAAAGAAGCGCACAGCCGAGCATTATTGCCGTCTCCATATAACCGTTTCGGGCTCGAGACTATGTGTAATTTGGTGCAGTGGTATGGACTTAAGATAACTGATTAGTACCAAGGTATAACCTGCGGGTAAATAACAGCGACAGGGTCGCGTATGCGTGTTGCTTAGAACGGAGTCTTGTTGAGCTCATCAATCTCATCAATCTCGGATCTTGTTAGGGGGAACCACAAAAAAAAACTCTTCGATAAATGCTCTGAACGTTGATGATGAGGCTGACTTGTGATTTCGACTCTCTCTCCTTCCTCGTTCGCTTTAATGCTGGAGTCACCGCGTATAGTGTCCTCGCACGTGATAAGGCACTAGAGCGAAAAAGGCACCGGTAGCAGGGGGTGGCCCTGTCGAGTTTTACGTTTTACTCGCTTCGTGCATGGTTCGGTACCGGACGCTGGGTACCTTTTTTATAATGGAGAAGTGAAAGCAGAACCAACAGGTGGAGATTGAATGAAAGTGCCTAGGACTTATGTAGCAGCGTAATGTAATTGATCAGGCGACGAATGTAGCATATGATAGACACGTGCTTGGTTGGACCTGGGGAATTTCTTCGACACCTCGTTAGTATCCAGTTTGGCAAGAAAGCGAGAGATGTATCGTCACGTAGTTACTATGACACTTGGTTTCTCAAGTGATGAGGTAGCTTTAACTGCTTGAAACTCAATTCTTATTCCTTAGCCTCAAGGTACTTTCTCGGGACAAGCTACAAACTACTAAGGTAGATACCAGTCCAGCCTCCATGAGTGGTCGATCGGTGCAAGGGTCCACGAGGATCTAGCGGAAACAAAGCGCGCGAAAGCAGCTGAGACGGGAAATAAGTTA